CTCAATATCTTTCTTTACCTTTTTTATTTTAAAGTATATTTCATCTGATATTAGTACTGCTAGTTCCACTTTTCTCTGAATGCCATTTGCTTGAAATATTTTCCACCCTTTCACTCTGAGTCTGTATTTGTTTTTGGAACTGAGATGTGTCTCCTGAAGGCAGCATGTGGTTGGGTTTTGTTTTTCGAACCATTTTGTAACTCTGTGCTTTTTTATTGGTGAGTTCAGTCCATTTACATTTAGGGTGATTATTGAAATATGAGGTCTTCTTATCGCCATTTTATCTTTTGCTTTCTGGTAGCTCGGTGTTTCCATTGTTTCCTTGTCCTTGTGCTTCTGTTTTCTTTATTTTGATTGGCTTTTGTGTGTTTTCCCTCTGGTCCTTCTTGTTTTATGTTATATACAATGGTTCTGAATCTTTGGTGTGTGGTTACCATTATGAATATGTAAAGGATAGTTATATCTATATATACAGTGGTCCATTTTCTTCTGTGTATGCCTTATCTCCATTTCCCTTTGTGCATTCGGATCTTTGAATCCCCCTCCTTTCAGTCATTGTTATCTAAATTTGTTCCTATGTATCCTGAACATTCATTACTATCTTGCTATAGTAATGCTCTTATTATTATTTAAGCTTATAATGCCCTGTTCTTAGTAAGGGTTGCACTCCTCTGCTTCTATTGGCCCGATAGTCACTTTACTCCTAATTATGGTTTTTTTTTTGTCATTTTGTTTTAGATGAACTGACCCCTTTCAGTATTTCCTATAGTGCAGCCTCATAGTGGGGAATTCCCTCAATTTTTGTACATCTAGAAAGTTCTTTATTTCTCCTTCATATTTAAAGGAGAGCTTATTCTAGGCTGGTAGTTCCTTTCACTTAATAGTTTAAATATTTGATTCTGTTCCTTTGTGGCTTGTAAGGTTTGTGCTGACAAGTCCAAGGATAATCTACCTTTATAAATTATCATTTTTTCTCCCTGGCTGCCTTGAGAATTCTGTCATTTTCATTGCTTTTTGATAATTTTAATACAACGTTCTTGGTGAAGGCCTTTTTGGGTTGAGATAATTGGGTGTTCTGTTGACTTCTTGAATTCCAAGCTCCAGCTCATTCCTTAGATTTGAGAAATTCTTGTCAACTATTTGTCTGAAAATACTTTCTAATCTCTGTTCCTTTTTCTCACCCTCGATAATGCCCATTATTCTTATGTTTCCTCTCCTGATGATATCAGCTAGTTCATGAATTTCTCTTTCCTTATTTTTCATTCTTCAGTTTCTCTCTTCTTCTTTCTGATTTATTTCTAGATTTCTGTCTTCGATATCACTGATCCTTTCCTCCATTTGGTCAGCTCTATTTCCCAAGCTTGCTATTTCATTTTTCAACTCTTGCAGTGTGTTCTTCATCTGCAGAATTTCTATTTGGTTCTTTTTGAGGTTTCAATCTCCTTATTCTGCTCATCTAGTTGTTTTTTCAATTCCTAAAATTGTTGATTTGAGTTGTTTTGGATCTCATTGAGTTTTTCCAGAAGTACCATCCTGAATTCTCTGCCATTTAAGTTGCATATTTCTATGTCTGTAAACTTATTTTCTGGAGATTTTTTTTCTTTCTTTCTGAGATGCCTTGTTGCCTTGGTTGTTCATGGTGTTTAATGGACTATTTCTCAGCCTGGGCATTGATGGAAGTGTATTCTGCTGTTTTTCCAGAAAGGAAATTTATTATATAAAGATCTCTTTTTAGCCTGTTGCAAAGAAGTCGCTTTTCTGTTGGTTTCAAGTAGGTGGCATCTAAGCCTCTTGGATCCCTGCTTTATATAAAGTCTTAATAACGCTTTTAAAATTTTGTTGTAGATATTTAACCACCCTCACTACCCTTAGTTTCAGTCCCTGTCAGTGTCAGCAACAGTGTCAGCAACGTTTGCTTAGATTCCCCTGGGGCTCCGCAGTGTTAGGTCTCTGAGGGTATGCGGGGAGGGGCTCTCTGGGGTTGGGGGCTGTGGCTCAACTTTGGCTTTGCAACCGTGGATGGCAAAAAATCAACTGTTGTTCCTCTGTGGTCCCGTCCCACTTCTCTGCTTTCTGCCCCGATGACTGGGCCCTGCAGCTTTCCCAGGCAGGGCTGTTCAGGGAACTCCGTGCAGGAACTCACTGCTCCTTTTCCCCTCCGCCTCCTCCTGTAGGGAGCTCCAGGCTGTGAGAGACAGCTTCTTTTATACTTCCGGTCCATCGCCTAACATCTGTGGTTCTGACCTGTGGTAGCTCTTATGCACAGATCCCAAACTCAGACATGCTGATAGGCAGCTTGGGTGTTTTTTTGTTGTGTTTTAGATGTTCATCTTTTTGTTCTTTCAAGGAGAGATATCTGGGGACATCTCTCACTCCATCATGTTTCCAAAGTCCAAAAGTGGAGATTTTTAAAGGGAAAAGTTCACGAAATATCAGTTTTCAGAGACTTTTTTCTAAATATATTCTGAAGCAGTAATAAAATACCTTGAATCTATAATTATTCACCAAAATAAGAGTTTTGAAAAACTAGACTTTTGCCTGCGTTTGAATGATCTCATTTTAGCATGATATTAGTTAGAAGTAATACAAGTTTTGAATGACTAAAGAATAGCTAAAGGAAATTGCATTCTCCTTTCCTTCATTTAGCAAATATACAACCCCTTAAAATGAAGACTGTGAATGCAGTTTACAGAGGAGAGAAATAAAACACCTCAATCTTGCCAAAGTCAACAGACCTTTTTTGGAATCATCAGAAGCAATGTCTTCAGCAAAACTCTTCTTAAATACTGAGAGCCTCTTTTGTAGAGAGCGACAGTGAGTTCACAGAACTCCTGCCTTCTCATTAAGGTAGCTGACAATTAGCAGAAGAAATTAATCAATAAAAACAAAGAAGGGTCACAGTGGAGAAGGAAAGGAGATGCTAAGAACAAGAGGGTTTTCTGTTTTGTTTTTAGATTAGAAGAAGTTGATGTATTTCTAAGGTCAAGGGTGGTAATAAATTAGGACTAGAGTGTCAGTGGTATATTTTAGATTATAGTGCTTATAATAGAACTAGTTCTAAAAGGACTGTAGTATTTGTTCCTTCACATTCCTCTTTTGTTTCTACTCCTGTCTTTCTGAAAATTCTCCTTAGAAAAAGTTGTTAAAATGATTATTAAACAATTTTTATGCTTTAAACTGATTATGAGTTTGGACTTTAAGAAAGGAAATAAGCAGAATGGATTTTTTAAATTCTCGGAAAGATTTCTATGGAAGAGATGCTCTTTGGGGTAGCAGTTCAGGCTGGATATCAGTGTCTGTTGGTAGGCTTATCGTAACTGAGAACAGTGAACTTTTCTTAAAAAAAATTCCTTAGCTGGAATGAATAATTGAAAACGCTGAGCCATTGGAACTTCAAAGATTAATTTCTCCATTAATGGAGCAAGGTGATAGAGAGAAACAATTAGGCTAAAGAAGAATAATCAAGCTAACCCAACTGGGGCATTTCATCTGATATTCAAAGTTACTGGGCCAAGACTTTGATCTCTTTCAGTTTTGTTTGAGGGAGTTTTAGGTCATTTAAAACTGCAGAAGCTTTCTGTCTTTGTAACTCAGAACTGTGTTCTGATATATGGTTTTCTTTTAATCCCTTCAGGTAATTGGATACAAAGTGCTATTTCTGGGCACTGTGAGCTGCAGGATGGTTATTTAATGACCAGCGTCAGATATTCCCAAAAGGCTTTGACTATATTTTTAATGTGCTTACTTGATAGCCACGAGTCCATTCAGTTATATTAAACTTGGAGACAGACCATTTTACTTTGCTGAAGAAAGAACAATGATGCAACAGGAAGTCAGATGACAAAGATAAGAACCCGTGTTCCAGGATAAACCAAATACAGCAGAACCATTATAACTTGGACTAGAACAGTTGGGGATGGGATAGATTTAACTAAAAATTGTTTTTAGTAGACAATTCTCCCAGTGACAGGTGCATTCTCCAGCTTTATAGCTAAGATTATAGAGGTTATCTTGTTATAATACCAGGAAGATTATATTTTCTTTGTCAGTGAAATTTTCATACTGCATAAGTCTAATTTATAAAATGTCTTCATGAATGCTCATCAGGATTATGTAGAGACTTTCTATTTCAGAGACTGTAAATCAGATCATCATAACTATTCTTGTCATTAATATTATTGGCAAAATCAGTACTATGATAGTAAGAGTTATATATTATATAGAGTTTCTGCTTATATTTATTTAGTTACCGTTATGTCTGAGGCACTGTTTTTGGCCTATTTAAAGCATCATCTCTATTCCTTATAGCAGCCCCAAAAAGTAAATAAGTACTATTAGTCTCATTTAATACTTGTGGAAACAGGGTTTAAGTAACTTGTACAAGGGTTACCAATGATTAAGTGGTAGATTCAATACTCTGATAGGAGATTTTTGACTTAAAAAAAAAAATTCCATCACAATCACCATTTCTCTAATTTTTATACTGCTTTTCCTTCAGAATTAATAGATGGAGTGGTTTTACTTGACAATGTCACTTATTCAGAAGCAAATGTCCTCCTTTCTTTGCAGCAGATTGAATCTACTGAATATTCACAAATTCTTCAGTGCCGTGCTGTCTAACTGGTGGGAGTACAAGAAGAGGCAAATCGTGGCAGAGAACTACAAAGCATCTTCGTTATCATGGAAAACAAATCAAGCACATATATCACCTTTAGCTCTAGTATTTGGGACTCTAGTGGGATTAGTTACATACACAAGTGCCATTTAAATTTTTTACATCTTGGTTTGCAGAAGAACTGTTAACGTGCACTAATGATCTGGGTAAGTTACAACAATAGCTAACTCTGACTGAGTCCTTTGCATGTCTGAGGCACTTTTCACAGATTATTTTATCAGTCAACACATCAGCCCTATGAATCCAGTACTATTGTCATTATCATCCTCATGTTACAAATAAGGTTAAGATTCATATGTTAGTGGAACAGGGATTAGAATCTATGACCCCTGACATCAAGGTACGGTAATTGTTTATACGATATTTGGTAATTCTTCAGATTAGGGTTTTCTAGTGTCTTGACACTGTGATGTATCGTAATTCTCAAACATCCGAAGTAATTTGTAATTAAAATAGACAAAATGTCAAAATTTACAACTGGTTTACCTTTTTTGTAAACTAGAAAACATTAAAAAATTTTCTTATCTATATCAACATCCTCTACTGTTTGCATTCAAATATATTTTCTTTTGTATGAGAGGAATGTTTATAATAGCAGCCAAATTCGGGAAACTAAATATAACCTTGTTTGTTATCCATTGTGCAGTTTTATCTACTTCCTATCTTGGTTCTTTGAAAGCTGTCTAGAGACTTTCTGCCACCTGAAGGGCCTGACACAGTCTGTCATTACATGTAGCAAGTGCAGTATGTTCTTGCTAAAAGCATGGGAGTAAGGAACAGTGTGGTTAAAAGCGCAGATTGCAGGGCTAAAGCCAGCTTTCCAGCACTTACCAGATCTCTAATATCAGGCAGTTATTTGCTCTCCCCAAGCCTTGGTTTCCTCATTAAAGAGATGGGGGTGGTAGTAGTACCTAATTCATAGGGTTGTTGTGAAGATTAAATAAGATAATGTAAGTAGAAGTATTTAGCACAGTGTCTGGCTTATGGTAAGTGCTCTATAATGTTAGCTGATATTACCTACTATTCTGTTTTGTTTTTTTTTATTAGCAGGAGAAAAATGAATTAAAGTTTAATAACATGTATAACTCCTATACACTTGGGAGAGACCTGGGAAAACTGAGTAATCCCTTATCTGCTGTTCTAAAGGGGCTCTTTTCCCCCCAGACTCAGTAAAGTCTAGTTAGAACATAACAACACAAAGTAAGAGGCTATATCTTTGCCTTTGGGGTGAGCTAAAGAAGGCTAGAACACAGCACTATAAATGGATATATAATATTTGATTTATTTATTAGCAGTGCCATGTATTATGAGGGGAGAAGAGAAAAAGATAGTCAATAAGTAACTCTGGGAAGCTTAATAAGATTATCCTTTTTGCCACCTAGCCTTGTAAACTAGTAAAAAAAAATTTTTTAAGTCTTGTAAATAGCAATATTGCACCCATGATGATGAAGAATTTGTATGTGGGGAGGTCTTTAATCATTTCTTGATATTAATTTTTTAAAAACCTAATCATTAACATAATGGAAATTACTGCATTTTGAATTCTATGGAATTTATTTATTTTTGTAAAAGGCTTAAAAATGGCTTATGTCTGCACAGACAATTAAGAAAAAAACCCACATAGCAGACTGACTCGGTGTTAGTAGCTAACTCTGACTGAGTCCTTTGCAGTCGAAGGATGTGAGTAGGTTGTAGGCTGCACAATTAAAAGCATCAGTACTAGGGCAAGGTTCTAATTCAAAAGGGGCCATCCACAAAGATATTGTTAGACATCGCTGGCTATGATGTGGCAGTCAGCACTATTGCTCTCACTCATTTTCTTGATAGGGTGTTCTGTAATATGATAATACATTGCTAGCCTATCTAGATAAGCTCCATCTTCAACGAGTGCAACACAGGTTTCCTGTCTTCAATAATATTCCGCTAGTATTTTTTTTTTCCACTCAGAGTCATATACCTAATACTTGCTATGGAAAGCAGAAAAGATTTCTTGCTTGAGAGATGAAGACTAGAGTTTCTATATACAGTCTTATCTTTCCAATCTCTTTTGTACCTCTCTCTCTGCCACCGGAGCGTCTAGCACAACCTTCCTTGTCTGATGTCTTGACTGAATGTCTCTTATTGCTTGTAGTTAGGTATTCTTTCCAGCAGGAGGAGTGCAATGATTAAGCTGGCATCAGGCTTCCTTCTTTGACTTGTTAAACACTAAAAGAAGTTTAACAACAATAAAAAGATGTCAGAAAAAAATGGAAAAAGCAATTTTGCTTTTATTGATATTAGTCTTATTAAGCAAATGAATGAAATGGGAAAGTCTATCACACAAATTCCATTTCTAATGAGAAAGGTAGTGTGATGAAGTAAAAGAAACACACACATGAACAAGCACAAAACAAAAACTAAATTTAGACAGAGAAATATGAGTTCTGGACCTAATTTTGCCAACCACAAGCTAGAAATTTTTGGGTTATTGAACTTTCCTAGAACACAATTTTATTATGAGTAAAATTAGGGTATTGGGATAGATGTTCCAAAAGGCCACTTAAGACTATCATTTGGTATTCTAAGATAAAAGCCAACACAATTTTCCAAGAGATGATCATGAACCTATCACAGTGAATCAATATTATAGTTTTAAAAAAATGATCTACCCAGAGAATTTAAAAATAAATAGAAGTGAAATAAATAAAGGTATTTTAGACCAGAGAATGGTAAGAGTGGAGTCTAAGTGATTATAAAAATCTAGATAACTAAATGAAGTAATTTAGTAAGAAAATCAAGCAAAAAAATCAAATCCCCCAAAATTATTAATAAAACTTTGAAATCTTCTTGTACTTTATAACACTGGACATTTTTCTTTATAAAAGATAATATAGACTTGCATTCCTGGACTTGATGGAGTAACTGATACCAGAGTTTCTTCCTACCGTATATAGCTAAAAATCTCAATAAAATACATGAAACGACTGTTGTTAGGTACTGGCCAGTAGGCAGTGCGAGTATGTGATCCCTGAGAGAAGGGAAACAAACAAGCTGAGCCCCCAAATCACCCTTAGTTTCACTTGGAAGCATTTTCTGGACCATGATGTGGAAAGGAAGAACCCAAGCAGAGCATTCATGGTGCTCTCACTAAATTGAAGGGATAGAGTTTCAAGTTTGGAGGACGCTGAAGTGGCTGGAACTTGTGAGGCAGAATAGTGGAGATAAGAGGGTTATCTAACAAAAAACTCCAACCATATGAATAGGGGCTCCATGAATTAGTCACTGAACTAATTAATGCATCTGTGAAACCCTCATGAGTTCAAGTAAAGAACAAGAAAGATGCTGTAAATGAAAACTTTTCCGGAGTTGACACTAGAGAGAGACATTTGAGTTCTCATTAGTTAGAATGGAGAGAATTTGTTGAATCCCTGGACATTTGTAGAGAATCCGGGGGATCATGCATTAGTATAATGGTTAAGCTAGCCCTAGAATAAAGGTTATTCTAGACCTGTTCTAACAAATTTAAAGATAAGCATCAAAGTGATCTAACTGATCTTCAAGAAACATAATTTGAAGTAACCTAAGTAAGTTAATGAAATGACACAACAAGTTTCAACACTGGACAAAATAATTAGATATTTAACAATGTCATATTCAGTGTCCAAAATTTAATCAAAGCAATTATACATACAATTATACTAAAGAAGCAGTGAAATGTGACCTATAACCAGAATAAAAATCAGTCATTAGTAACAGGACTAGAAATTATAGAGATAATGGATATCATCAATACACTTAAGGATTTAAAGGAAAACATGAAACCAATTATGAAGAAAGTAAAAAATGTATATATATATTTTATTCAATATATATAAGGATTGAATGAAAGGTTGGAACTTAAAAGTGCAATATCTAAAATTAAAAAAAAAAAATCACTGGATAGGATTACCAGTAAATGAGAAATAGGGGAAAAATATCAGGAGAAAGTTTTAGCAGTAGAAACTACTCAAAATACAGTAGGAAGAATAAAAAGATGCAAAAAAATTAATAACGTTTTGAAGTAAACTAGAAATTCACATATTTGAGTTCCCCAAAAGATGAAAAATGAAGACAACACTAAGGAATATTATAATCCAATTGCTGAATGATCAAGACAAGATAAAATCTTAAAAGCAGCCAGAGGAAAAAAGACACGTTACATACAGGAGAAAAATAAGATAGCCGTATAAAATTCTCATCAGAGACAATGAAAGCCAAGAATTTTCAAAAACCTGCTACAGAAATAAACTTAGTGAAACTCAAATGGAGAAAATATATGTAAAAAGAAAAGACACATCATAGTCAAACTGATAGAAACCAATGATAAAGAGAAAATCTTAAAAGCGGTCAAAAAGGAAAACGTATTACGTTCAGAGTAATTTCTGTCAGATTGATATTAGATTTCTCATCAAGAACAATGGAAACCTGAAGACACTTAGATGATACCTTTACAGTGCTAAAAGAAAAACTGCTAATCTAGAACTCTATATACAGTGAAAATATTCTTTAGAAAAATGAAGGCAAAATAGACATTTCCAAACAGAACTGAGGATTTATCAGCAGAATAATAGTACAATATATTCTAAAGGAGATTCTTCAGTTTGAAGGAAAATGATCCTAGATGGAAGCTGCAGGAGAAATGAGCACTGGAAAGGATAGATGTGTAGATAAATATATACTTAAAAACTACTTTTAAAAGTATCTTTAAAAGACTGTTAACTGTATAAAGCAAGTGTATATATAAGGAAGGTAGCATTTATAATATAAGAACTAAATTCTGAAATGACAATAGCTCGAATGAAATTTATAAAGTGGAAAATAGTAATTTAAGAAAACAAAAGTTAATGATTTTATTGTAATCTATAAAATAACCACTAAAAATGTATATCCCAAAATAGCAGAGCAAAAGAAAAAAAAAAAAAAACAGATCCTCTCAAAACAAGAGCAGATAAAATGGTAAAATAAAAATATTTTTATCCAAAAGTAGGCAAGAAATGGGGGAAAAAAACGAATAAGATGGTAGGCCTAAATTCAGCCATATCAGTAATTACCGTAAGTGTAAATGAACCAAACACATCAATTAGAAGACAGATATCAACAGACTTAATGAAAACAATACACAATTATTTGCTATGTACGAGAAACACACTTTAAAGACAAAGATAGCGATTGGTTGAAGAAAAAGGATAGAAAAGCATATTATATAAACCCTCATAATTAAAAAGTTGGTGTAACTATATTTATATCGGAAAACTAGATTTTAAAACAAGCATATAACTGGAGAAAAAGACCATTTCATAATGATAAAAGGGTAGATTCATTAGGAAATAATAAGAATTTTCAATAGTATGCAGCTAGCAACATTGCTTCTAAATACATGAAACCAAGACCATAAGAATTAAAAGGA